GAATGCAGTTGTAATTTGATTTTTTTTTAATTTAATTTTTAACTTATGTACATTTTTAAAGTACTTATAGATTAAATTAAGAGCTCGTCTTAGTATATGTACTCGGTGTCAATCAGATTCATATGTTTCATATGTTGATTTTTTGGGTGACTTAAAATTTTGCACCCGAGTTAAAACTATAACATATTAATCCATAAATTGTGTTTGAAGATTTTGACACAACTTATATTGATTAATTATAAAAATAAAAATAAAAAAATTCCATCCTTGTTATGAAGTAGTTTTTCAATTTCTTATATACTTTATTTTTAACATTATGTACATTTTTAGAATACTTAAAAGTTAATGACTTGTCTTGGTAAATCATATTTATATGTGCACGAATTACGAAATTGGCACGAAATTGACACAAATTAATCAATAAATTTGTGCCAAATAGCTCGTGACAAAATCCATGCCAATTTTGGAAAATCCCTATCAAAGATATCCTATCAATCCCGTGTTTTTTGTAATGTGTTTTTTGTAATGTGTTGTTGGCTTGGTATACTTTATCTTTGTATTTGAAATGTTCATTATATTTATCTATTTTAATTTTTCCACTTTAAACTTTTTATAAAGTTTAGAATTAAGTCAAAATTTAGGTGTCCCCGATTTAGATTCTATGAAATCTATGAAAATAATGGTGTTCCAAGACATTCCGTGAATTTCTATTATTCTGTATCTGGATGGATTTTAATTGATTTTGAAAGTCTCCTACATGTAAAACATTACACCACAAATTTTGTGAACACCTCTCTAATTTCAAAATCCACAATCATTAAAACCCATTAAAGTCATAATTGTAGATACCCCTAACATTCTCAAAGAATCTAATATCAATTAGAACCAATCAAGTCCTTAACATCTCATGTTTCCATTTAAAAATATATAATTTGAATTTATTGCGCTGAAACAATCTATAAACCAAGTTGTATTTAGGAGTGGACTCGGGCCGGGCCAACCGGCCCGGAACCGGACCGGCCCGCTACTGTGCGGGCCCGGCCCGGGCCGGTGAGGCGGTTAGTTCACGGTTCGGGCCATCCGACCCGGTCCTCAAGCGGTTCGGTCCGGGGCCTAGATTTTAGTGAACCGGCCCGGCCGGGCCTCAACGGTAACATTTTAAAAATAATAATAAATAATAGAAGGCTCCATAGCCGTTGGGAGACCTCCCAAACGGCTCTATAGCCGTTGGGAGCATAGGAGGGGGGTCTGGGGGTTAGGGGGTGGGGTGGGGATGGGGGTGGGGATGGGGGTGGGGTATACAAAAAAAAAACTATTTATACTCCTATTTTCTATACATTTTTTACACCTTCTTCTACAACTCTTCCTACAATCTAAATTCTCTATTCTCTCAATCTCTCATATTCAATCATCTTCATTCTTCATCTTCTCCAAATTCTTTCTACATATATTAATATATATAATTTATATAATTATTATATCTACTTATATATTAATTATCTACTTATAAATATATACTTATACACATTCATATTATAATTCTTTACGCATTATATTATATATACTATATATAGTTATACATTATATTATATATTACTTATAATATATTTACACATTATATATTTATATATACTATATATACTTATACTCATTGACTTCTCGTTTATATACTATATTCTTTACACATTATATTATATATACTATATATAGTTATACATACATTTTATAAAAGTAGTTAATTGTTAGACTTCTCGTTTATCTATTAAATTACTTAATTGTTTCATTTGTCATATTAATATTTGTTAAAGTAGTTAATTGTTTCATTTGTCATATTAATATTAGTTAAAGTACTTAATAGTTTCATTTGTCATATTAATATTAGTTAAAGTAGTTAAATTTAATTGTTTCATTTGTCATATTAATATTAGTTAAACTACTTAATTGTTACATTTCTCATATTGATATTAGTTAATTGCTACATTGCTCATTAAAGTAGTTAATTTTTACATTTCTCATATTAGTTAATTGCTACATTGCTCATTCAAGTAAAAAAAAAAAGTAGTTAATTTTTACATTTCTCATATTAGTTAATTACTTAATTGCTACATTTTTACATTTCTCATATTAGTTAATTGCTACATTTCTCATTAAAGTAAAAAAAAGTAGTTAATTTTTACATTTCTCATATTAGTTAATTGCTACATTTCTCATTAAAGTAAAAAAAAAGTAGTTAATTTTTACATTTCTCATATTACTTAATTGCTACATTTTTACATTTCTCATATTAGTTAATTGCTACATTTCTCATTAAAGTAAAAAAAAAGTAGTTAATTTTTACATTTCTCATATTAGTTAATTGCTACATTTTTACATTTCTCATATTAGTTCATTGCTAATATTTGTTCAATTTTAAAGATGGAGCGTGGTAGACATTCTGTAGATGTGGGTAATCTCCAACGCAACCGCAAGAGGGAGATTGCATCGACTCGATCTACTTCACGCAAAGGCAAAGGTAAAGCGCGGGCCGAGTCTTCTTTTCAAAGTCGAGATGATTTTGAAACGGATTACCAACGGCGAGATCATATGATGATGTCCGACGAGCAACTACAACACATATTGTCCCAAAATGATCCACGTTTTGCACAAGAACAACAATTCCCGACAACCATCGATGAAGAGGAGCTCGAGGATGACGATGCGGAGGAGGACGCGGGGGAGACGGGACTCCGGATGATGAGCAAGAGTTGGAGGACGAGGGCCGTTAAACGACTACAACCCAAATTGGTAAGAAATCTAAATCTCCTATTATTGAAAACAATTATACAAAAAGGAAAGACAAAAAAACCGAAAAATGGTACGCAAGTTGCAATCATTGCAAGAAAGAGTTTAGCTTGGGAACTTCTGGCGGATACGGGAGTCTCAAAAGGCATCTTCAGTCCGCCCACTTTGTGGAGTATGCGAAAATAGACAAAGGCAAGGGGAAGCAAACACAAATATCGAGGTTTGCAAATTCTCAACCCTTTGGTAATTTTTCCTATGATGATAAAAAACATTTGACTGGTATGTCTCATTTAATTGTTGAAGAAAATTTACCCTATATTTTTTCCGAAAGTCTTGCTTTAAGAGATTATGCTCAAGGTACTTTAAATCCTCAATTTAGAAATTATAGTCGCAAAACTATTAAAAAAGAAGTTATAAGGCAATCTAACTTGGAAAAAGAAAAATTACAAATATTTTTCGCAAACTTTGATGAACGTGTTAGTATTTGTAGCAATATATGGGAGGATACTTATCATCATTTATATTATTTGGGTCTTACTCCACATTATATTGATGATGATTGGAATATGCATAAACGTGTTCTTGCTTTTCGTGAATTCAATGATCGTCACACTGCTGATAATATTTATATTCTCATTGAACGTATTTTAATTGAATATAATTTGATTGATAAGATGTTTGATGTAGGTTTTGATAATGCTAGTAATAATATTGCTGCTATACCTAGATTACGTGAATTGTGTGGTGCTTCTACATTGATGGGTAGATTTTTTCATCAACGTTGTGCATGTCGTATTCTAAATTTGTGTGTACAAGATGGCTTAGCGGCATTAGGAAATGCTTTGGAGGTAGTGAAGGGGGGAATTAAATTGATTTGGGCTAGCACTCCACTAAAAATGCAACGGCGGCAATATTTGAAGGATAGACGTGTCAATTATTGTGCTTTTCCTAAAGATTTGTCTATTCGTTGGAATAGTACTTATAATTTAATTCAAGTACTTGTTAGATATAAAGATCATTTTACAGCTTTTTAAAGACAAACTTGTAACTATATTATAAACCCGGCTGACATCGACACTTGTGAAAAAATTGTTAATATTTTGGCATATTTTAATAACGCAACTCTAACTTTTAGTCATGTTTATAAACCTACTGCAAACGAATTTTTTGTTGAATCTGTTAATCTCACCGACGCTTTTTGTGAATTTTCCTAAGCCACTTACGTTAGTTATTTTTGTGATTTCATGAAACAAAAAGTTTTTAAAATATTATTCACATATTCCGCATATATATGGTATTGCATTTGTTCTTGATCCTCGTTATAAACTTGCTTACTTGGCAAATTGTATAGATTACTATTATGCTTCTTTTTTTCCAACTCAAGAGTTCGATGATAATCCCATCGACCCTAAACAAGAATTCAACGAGGTTAGTAATTTATTTCATCAATTTTATAATGAATTTCATGCACAATATGGTAGAGCAACTCCCGCTATTGAACAAAGCTCAAGTAACGAGCTTTCTTTGTATCTAACATTGAATGTTGATTATGAAGTTAGTGATGACTTTGACGTTCTTAAGTGGTGGAAGGAACATGAAAGAACATTCCCGATTTTATCAAAGATGGCTAAGCAAGTACTAGCAATGCCGATATCAACCGTTGCCGTGGAGCAAGAATTTAGTGCGGCCAGCAACGTCCTAACCGATTATAGAACGAGGTTGAGCCCGAACTCTCTTGAGACACTAGTTTGCTTTCACGATTGGTTGAAGGCCCAACGAAGAACTCAAGAAATTACCATCACTCCCAACCGCCACTTTATGGAGGAAACAACCGAAGGCGGAGATTCCGATTGATTTTTTATTACAAAATGTATTACACTTTTTAAATTCATCCTAATTCTCAATTGTACTTCTTATTTGAAATAAATATACTTGAATTCGAATATAATATATTGTAATTGTAATAAGAATTATTCTAATAATATAATACATAATATATAATTAAAAAAAAAAGGCTCGGCCCGGCGGGCGGCCCGGCCCGTGAACCGGGCGGGTGACCCGAACCGAACCAGACCCGGGGTTATCCAGGCCGGTTCCGGGCCTGCCTTCCATGAACCGAGGCCCGGCCAGTTCTAGGCCCGAACCGAGTCCACCACTAGTTGTATGGTATTTGTTTTAAACTATGAGGTATTCAATCAAAAATTTTAAATTTGAGGTATTTGATTTATGTTTTCATGGATCAAAAAATCAAAGAAATGACAAAAAAAGAAATTTTATAATTAAATGGTTGAGAGCTATGAGAATATGTGATACAAGCATCCTCCAACTTTAATGAAAATATAACATAGATCCTTATGTTACAGAGATGCCTGCTAGAAAAACGTCACCCGCCACAAAGCATGGGAGGGGGGTTACCAAAGCCACTCAAACTGAACGAGTTGTCCATCCATAAAATACGCATCCATCTTATTCGTCTAGGGCAATCAGATCCAAGCAACCTCTCATAATAAGACTTATCACGATCAATCTTCGAGGACAAAAAAATGAAAAAAATAAAAAGACCATCAAATTATCAAGAATAAAGGACATAAAATTACAAAAGTCAATAAGCTTCACGGAAGTGTTTTTCAAACAATCACCAAACATGTCACTTGGTCCAGTGTTAATATATCCAGATGTAGATGTAATTGTCAAAGTAATTATGAGAGCTACTGTTTCACATACCTCTTCACAGATACGCTCGTAATCACGGTTAGGATCATTGCGATATTTAGCAGCCAATGCTTCTTTCAACCCCTGAATTATCATAATATTCATTAAAACACTTCAAAGACAAAAAAGACTGTTTGAAGAGAATGCATGGCTCTCTCCCACTTGGAGTGGCCAAAAGTCAGAGTAAGGTGGGTGAGGGAAGGATGAAGTTTTGTGCCCTCCCCTTGCTAATCTGTTGTACCTCAGCCAACCAACAGCAGGGGTATGTTTCCTTCCATTCACCTCAAACTTATGTTGCACGGAAACGTGAAAATCATGGGCAAATGAGAAACGAGAAAAGTCATCTTTAGAACAACTCTTTAGAACATTCCCTAGGATTCCGTGAGAGTTTCCGTGATTCATAGCCTCAATAGAACATTCCCTGGGATTCCACAAGGCTGAATTTGAACATTAAACGTGGGGGTATAATAAGACTACAATAAGCCCTTACAAATTATTACATGAAATCCTACCTCAACATCCGAAGAAACATCAATATTAATAATTGTGTCATACACCATCTTTGCATTTCGCAAGGGATGGTTGCACCGTGCTTCTTTGATTGCTCCTTTAATTGCTCCCTTCAACTTATTATAAAATTTTTGATCACTCCAGTACCCAACTATAATACTTAAGACTCCCCTTCAGAAAAGGAAAAAAATTAGTAAAGGTGTTTGATAATTCAATATAAAAAATTCATTCCATTTCGTAGCCAGTCACACAAAAGAATGATTATGTTTTGGAAAACCTGGTGTGATACATATGAATTTTCCCAAAAATAATAAAATACCATAAATTGATGAAGTTCAAAAGCATATCCCAAAATGATTTATCTTTTTACTATGTTGAAAAAGGCTACAACAACATTGGAAAAAAGAAAGAGATATATGAATAAGATTAAAAAAAATTATATATTCATAGTTACTCCGCCTCTTCTCACCTAATAATGGCAGTGGTTTCTGTCTCTTCCAAAACACATCCCAAAAACGTGTCTCTCTTGAGATCTTCCATCCGTTTATTAGCTTCTGCTCCATTTGAGTAAATCTCTATGTAGCATATCAGGTGTGGATCCTACAAAGAATTGAAGAAAACGCAAAGAAAAACTGATGAATAAATTTGAGGAGACGGTTTGTCGCCCATGCAACACTATTATACAGAATACCTCCATAGATGTGTCAACACATGCCTGAATGAACGCTGAAAAATCAAACAGCATTTTCACTCCAGCCACAAGAGTTGCAACATGTTCACCATGTTCAACAACATCCTTAAGGGATCGGAAAATCTCTTCCGCCATCTGCTTAAGTTGTGAATCATTTTCTACTTTGTTCGACAGGATGTCAATATATTCATCCTACATAGACATAACATAAATGAAAGTGAAGCAGGACCCCTTGTGTGTGCTTAGAGCATCCCTAGCCCAACCAACCAAATTGCACGTGTTTGTTGCATGAAAATTAAATTTGAAATTGATCAATGACAACAAATTAAAAAAACCATCTGTAACATTTATTGCCAAATGAAATCCCTTTTGCTAAAGGTATGTTGTACTCTTAGCATGGTTCTAAAAAATCGGCTTAGGCGCCCGCCTAGTCACTAGTCGGTGGCCGGGCGCCCCAACACTGTGGTAATCATCCTACATATTCGCACTACTTTGTGATAGTCTCATTTTCCCGCTCAGTTTCACTTAAATTTCAGTCGCACGATTCACACCCATATCCATGTCTCACGTTTGTTCAACCGTCCATCTCTAGTCCCAACTTTTTTTATTTTCCACACTTCAATCGAAAAATCTCGTTCATGAAGAATCAGACTTCAATGGGAAAAAAACTCCTTCATGGAGAATTAGACTTCAATCGGAAAATATCTCATTTTGGATTTTCATCAGCGAATGCCTTCATCCGAAAATCTCCGTTCAGAAATCTCTCTTCTTCCTCTCTAGAAATAATCGGAGTTCAGACACCTTTCTTTCGCAGGTATTTTCATTCCCTGTTATTTCCGATTTCCAATTTCCAATTTCTGGTTGTGATTTCCATTGAATTTATTGTTCCCTTTTCGATATACTTCATTCTACGGTTGAGTTTTGACTAGTATCAAATTAGGAATCCTGTTAAGAACACTAAAGTGTCCGGTAAAACTTCAGATTTGATCTCCTTCTAGGTTCCATTCATTCAAATTGAGAGTTTTCATCTCATTTTATTCATGTCATAGATTATTCTCGACCCGACGCAATTTCCTATCCCTGTTTTTTTGTTCCCTTTTGATTGAGAAGACAAGAAGTTTGATAGGTTAGATAATTTTGTGTTCTACTTTTATTGTGCATATCTTATTCAATCATGAGATATGCAATGTAAAGTATGGAAGAGATTTTTTCACACCTGATCCATAAGGAATATGCTTTGATATAATTTAATCTTTATTAATTATTATTTTACAGTATTCACATTAGTATTTCCATTATTTGCAATGGAGCCAAAGATTCATTATTTTTTGGCTTGAGATTATGATGGAATAAAGCAAAATGGTTCACTAAACTGTTTGCGCTTCTTTGTTATGAAGCAACTGTCAGTCCATGCAATTTTGGACGGGGTTTTCACTATGGGTCATCCGGAAACAGTCTCTCTCTGATTTAGTGCAGAGGTAAGACTGCGTACATCCGACCCCCCCTTACCCCACCGTAGATGGGAGCCTTTGCGGCACTGGGATAAATGAAAATGAAATGAGTATTCACATTAGTAGTCAATTCTAAAGACTGATTTAGTAGGTTGATAAATATATATATATATATATATATTTAGGATCACATACAAACTAATCCTAATTTACGAAGTGCAAACTAATCCTAGCCATTCATATTAATTAGATAACGGTGAGGATGGAAAAACTTCCCCACTAACTACTTGTCCGCATGTAGTGGTGAGAGGATAAACAACTCCCCCACTAATACTGTTGAGTATTAATGCTCCAGAAAAATCGTACCCTTGATGTTCTAGTATTGAACGGATGAGATGATTTTGCACGGGAAACATACTTTGTATCTGATCTTAACCCTATATATATAGATCAGGTCCGAACGGCTGGACCGAACCGCCGTCCAAACTCCGCCGTTTGGGGCGGTTCCCGATGGAATTTTCTGATGAAATTTTTTGATCATGTTCCTCATCAAGTCTAGTTTATTCACAAAAAATTTCATTTCAAAATTCGATCGGAAAGGCAGTCGAATAATTTTTTCAAGTTGATGGCGTTTTCTATGTATAATTTGGCGCAGTCAACTTCAAAAAATTATTTGACTGTCTTCCCGATTGAATTTTGAGCTGAAATTTTTTGTGGATAAAGTAGACTTGATGAGGAACATGCTCAATAAATTATTAGACTTGATGAGGAACTCCGTCCGGTGGAGTTCGGACGGCAGCTTCTGTCCAGCCGTGCGGACTTGCCCGTTTCAGGGCCTTCCCGGTGGAATTTTTTGAGCATGTTCCTCACCAAGTTTATGCATACCAAATTTCAGCTCAAAATTCGAACGGAAAGGCAGTTAAATAAATTCTTGAAACATACTGCGGATTTTGTACATATATAAAGTGCAATATGTTTCAAGAATTTATTTAACTGCCTTCCCGATCGAACTTTTAGCGGGACAAGTGAGAACTATCAAATAAGCCCTCGAACTTTCATAAAAAGTGCAAATAAGCCCTTTTATAGGAGGCTTTGTCCGGTCGTCACCATTTGGGGCGGTTTCCGGTGGAATTTTTTGATGATTTTTTTTGCATCTTTTTCATTAAGTCTAGTTTACTCGTATCAAATTTTAGCTAAACATTCAAACGAGAAGGCAGTCAAATGAATTTTTGAAGATAACTGCGCAGTTAGGCAGTTAGGCAGCACAGTATATTTCAAAAAATCATTTGACTACCTTCTTGATTGAGTTTTTAGCTGAAATTTGGTATGGATAAACTAGATTTAATGAAGAAGATGCTAAAAAAATTCATCACAAAATTCCACCGGAAACCGCCCCAAATGGCGACAGCCGGACAAAGACTCCTGTAAAAGGACTTATTTGCACTTTTTATGAAAGTTCGAAGGTTTATTTGATAGTTCTCCCAATTTTTAGCTGAAATTTGGTATGCATAAACAAGACTTGGTGAAAAACATGCTCAAAAAAATTCATCAAAAATTCCATCGGGTAGGTCCTCAAACGGGCAAGTATGCACGGTGCATCCTGTAAGGTTGCCTGACAGGATCATTCTTTATCCAAAAACATGCAACCTTTTGTGAATTTTTAATTTTGTTTTTTCAAATTTGAGCGATTTTATGATGTTGTGGGATTTGATTTATATGCTTTGTTGCAGGATCCCCTATTATTATGTCCATTCGATGTTGAGTACTTGAATATATGTATTTGTTATACATATAGGCATAACGCCCAAATTTGATGCTCGACATCAAGTCTCTACTTAGTTGAATATAGTTTGAATTTTCGTTTCAATTTACTACAGATGTATTTTATTTCTTCCCTAGATCCCTTCTATATTATGTTATTGCAAAAAAAATAATCCTCTGATTCTTCTCATTGCAGTACCGTACTAAAATATGATTAGTCACATCTTTTCGTGACAAATGCTACATTGAGATCCATCCCAAGCACATCCAACTTGCAAGGGGTGGTATGTACGTAAACGCACATTTGCTCTTTTATCTCTGAAGGACATCCAAATGTGCTTCTTCATATTGTCCAGGAGAAAAGTTATAATTCAAAAATGACTAATTAATAATTATAATCTGCAATTATCTCTTTGCCTATTTATCTTGCTTAGCTCAAGTTTCTTGGATAATATTATACCCAGTATGCACTAATATATCTTTATCATGAGAATGAAATTAGAATGACATTTCTACTCTGCTAAGGTTCGTTGTAAGCACACTAATCATTTCGTATGTCATATCTTCCTTAGTTTTGAGCCTTGACCGCCAAATTAATACTTTAGTTTTGAAAACTACAAATAGTCAATGACTCAAAGTACATAGGCGTGTCCACTATATATCTGCTTAATAGTAATAGGTTATATAGAACTAATAATCTTACTTAAGTTCCATAATTAACTCTTTACTATTGTACTTGATTAGTTGACGTTCTTAAGCCCTGGTTATATCAAAACTATATTAATCCATATCGCTCTCCAGACAAAAAATTTCAACTATAATTAAATTGATAAATTTAATTAATTTCAAGGTGTAATAAACATGATTGAATCTGGATAGGATAAAGAAAAAAGAGGAAAAAATTAGAGAAAGCGATGCTAAGTATAAACGGTTCAATGTAAAAGTCTGTTTGTGTAAAGAAGTCGAATTCTGAATATCCTCAAAATGAGAATTCAAAGAAGAAGAATGATTTAGCTACCGAAAATGAAATGATTTTGAATGATCACATCATCAGAGTCAATACCTTAAATAAGACTAAAACATTGGTAGAGTGTTTCTTTCATAAATAAGGACCACCAATACTATAATATTATTGATTTAGATAGAAGAGGATTTTACAATTTTTTAAAATGTTTTGAATTTTTTTTTTTGAATGGTTATTATTATAATGCATGTTAGTTTAGACAAAAAAATTATAATTTTTTTAAGACTAGGCCCATTTTATTTTTCCGCCCCTATGCCTTGAAACATACATGATCTCGATTCAAGATCATACATCTACTATAAATCCAATCCAATGAATGCACACATGCACAAACTACTACATGAACTCAAACTTTTAGTAAGGTGTTAGTTTCAAATCTCTTGCTAATTGATTAAAAGAATGGCAATTTTATAGAGTTTTAAGTTTAAAATTCCACAAAGTGAAAAGAAAATGATATCTAATTTAACATCATTTCTACGACATTAGGTCAATGAGCATATTCGAATGAGAAAAGTACATTCACACATACTGTTAGTTTTTAAATCCGATACTAGCATCCTTAAATTTTATGAAATTTTAGTTTTTTTTACCTTTTCAGTTGTCTATATTAATCACATATTCAATTATTGTTAAATAGGGTTCTAGGATTTGGGAAACCATCGAAGTGTAGCATGCCTCTATGCTTCAAAAGATGAAATTGAAGATAGACAAATTTATGCGATGATGCAATTCACTAATCATAGAAATATCGGATGGTGGAGACCGGTTTGTCACAATTTTAGGGTCCACTTTACAAAAAAATAAAGTTAAAGGTTCAAGCGGCAGAGAGATTTTTGTTTTTTGAGGTTCCCAATATAAGTTCAAAAACTTCATTCACATTCCAAATGCACCCGATGAAAAAACACCTGATTTGTTTTTATAACAAAATGAAACAATACAACTCTTTTTTAAAATTATGTTCTCAATGAATTATGCACTTCATTATAATTATTAATGTTTTCCATCATTTGCAATGCAGCCAAAGATTCATTATTTTTTGGCTTGAGATTATGATGGAATAAAGCAAAATGGCTCAATAAACCGTTTGCGCTTCTTTGTTATGAAGCAGCCGTCAGTCCATGCAATTTTGGACGGGATTTTCACTATGGGTCATCCGGAAACAATCTCTCTGTGCTTTAGTACAGGGGTAAGACTGCGTACATCCGACCCCCCCTTACCCCACCGTAGGTGGGAGCCTTTGCGGCACTGGGGTAAATGAAAATGATGATGATGAATTATAATTATTAATGTTGTTTTTACGTATTTACCTTGACACCTAATTGGAAGCTATTGTTCACATTCCGGCCGGCGTAGACAATTTCCTTCAATGCGTAGTTACGTGATGACATTCAATAAGACTCAGGGACAGTCTTTGGAGAGAAAAGTGGTTTTTTACACGTTCACTCTTCACTCATCGGTAGTTTTACGTCACAGTATGAAGATTAATGCACCCTTTTGGATTGAAGTTATTATGTGATGATGAAAGAAAAACATCCAAAAGGGCTTTAAATGTTGTTTACAAGGAGGTGTACAATAATTTGTACTTTTAAAATTCATTTACTTTTTTCTAATAAAACGTATCATTGTGTTATTTTAATTTTACTAAATTTTCTTTTAAATTATTCATTGCTTATTGATTGCATCCCGTGCTATGCACGGGTGAAACATCTAGTCGGTGAGAAATGTCGGCCAGCCGCCTAGGCGGGCTATGCAGGCGCCTAGGCGGTGGCTGGGCAGATAGGCGGTGGCTGGGCGGATAGGCGATGGCTAGGCGGATAGGCGGTGGCTGGGCGGATAGGCGATGGCTAGGCGTCCGGACTAAATTTGTTCCTAATTCAATTCATTTTTTCTATTTTATGTGAAAACACCATTTGATCATAGGTATTCTATTCCTATAAAATTCACTATCATATTCCTACAACAAAATATAATTTTTAATTGTATATAAACTTTCTAGAATGTATATAAAAAATAATTTAACTAAAAACCATAAATCTCTTAATTTATCTATTAATTATTTTAATATTGATGATTTTATGACAAAAAGCATGACATTTAATGATTATATGAGCTATTTCTATTGTCAAAATATTAAAAATTATTAGTAAAAATTGTTAAAATTCATATAAAATGGAAAAAAAAAATAAAGGAAACAGCTAGGTGCCTTAGTCGGTGCCTAGGCGGGCTAGGCGCTAGGCAGCCGGTCAACGTCCGACTAGCGCAGCCATACAAGCATCATCTACCTGGAAACTCATTAGTTTAAATATTTATCGGAAAAAACAAGATAAAAAACGAATGCTTACACCCATAATATTATCAATGATAGAAGAATCGGAACTCGAACTTGAATCTAGTGTCATTGGGAAATCAGGCTGCCACTCTGCATCATCTAATGTCTCCTTGGTTGCTAATTCTCTTCTCTTGGGGTTTCCAGTTACACCATCAGTGCTTGCTGTTCTCTTATGAGCAGCAGCCATACAAGCATCATCTACCTGGAAACTCATTAGTTTAAATATTTTATCGAGAAGAAAAGAAAAAATTAAATACCCGTGGATTCATTTAAAAGTTACATCACAAATAAAACAGCAAATGATGAAATAAAAAACAAAGAAACAACTCCAAACGTGCAACAACCAGTTTCAGCACTTGAAAACACTGACGCACACACAAACACATCATTGATGTGATTCCAATAGAAGTGAATTCCTGCTATGTATGAAATAGAGGTCATTGCACCAATTTCGAGAAAATTACATATTACGTCCAGATGTGAGTTTACATATGCACATTTTTGTGAACTTTTTTACATTTGTTGATTTTGTAACTATAGAAGGCTTATTCAAGTCCTTTCATTAAATTATATTATATTGCTGCTCATATTTCATTCAATGCAATACTCATAATATACCATAGGCTCATTTTGTATTTGGAAAAAAACACATCTTGTATAAGCGAAAAGGTTATATTCCATCATTTTGGATGTAGAATGCAGATGGTATGTATATTCTACAATTTGCCAATTTAAGGCCTGCAAACATAAAAAAGAAAGAAAAAATTATCACATCTCGAACGAGATTTCCACATATTTGGCTTGAGCATACACAAAGGACATAACCTCACAGGCTAGCATACATTTATTATTGTATGCTACCTCCCTTTCTAAGCGTGTGTATGGGAGTTGGGTTTTGGAGGGGAGGGAAAGGTTGATGGGGATTTAAGACCCTCCTTTTAATGTTTGGGAGTTTAAAAAATTGGAGGGGGTGGTTTTGGAGGTACCCTCCAAAACCCTCTAAATGCTCAATTTTTAAGTTCCCCAATTTGAAGGGTTTTGAAGGATAATTAGTGAAATGATAATTTAAGCTCAATTAAAAATGAATCTCAGTTCAATTATTTAAATTCATCATATCTCAAAGTGATTTTAATTATTATTTCTCGAAAAACTCTCTTCCTTCAAATTTATTACTCCCAAATACAAAGAAGGGTTTTCTCACCTTCCCCTTCCTTTCCCCTCCAATAGGATACCTCCAAAGTCTTCACCTCCCCTTCCCTCCAAACTCCCAAATATACCCTAAAAACTGTGACGAGTCTTTTTATTTAGCCTGTTCCAAAATAGTTAACAAACTTGTGCCTAATTTATTTCTCTGCTCAAACTTTAGCAACACAACTTTTACTAGAGGGAAGTAGTATAGATTTTCTTTCGTGAAAAATTGGGGATATGGCAGTGGGAATCAGGGATTTCGAATTCAGCGGAAAATTAGATAAAATGCACTTAGATACCCAGATCCGGTTGATTAAAAGGTCTTAGTACAATACATGGTTTGAGATCAGATGTATCTGGGACCTAGAACCGATAATTACGATATGGATAAAAACTTCAGCTCATAATATAAACGATTTAGCATCTATAATGTTTCATACAGAGAGGTATAAACGAATTAGGATCTAAAAAGTTTCATACAGAGAGGTAGATTTTAGGTACTTTCGTTTACCTGACGGCTTTGAGCGTGTGAAAGCGGATGAAAAGAGGTTTCCGACATCAACGACAATCTGCAAAGGGGAACCGTGAAGAACGAGGAGATGTCTTGAGAAAATTGACGTGGCTAAGCCAAAAACTTTAGCTTCAATCAATCAATTTATATATAAGAAAAACGATAGATTTTCCAATTACCATTTTGTCCTCAAAAAATGACATGTGACCATCTCTCCATATTCTACTCTTTTTCTATATTTCTGTCAAGTGGCAACGTATATAACTCTCTCTTCAATTCCAAATTCTAATCAGAATTAGAACGCCAAAAACATGAAAGGAGGAAGGTAATCAATTTATATATAAGAAAAGAGATAGATCTTCCAATTACCATTTTGTCCTAAAAAATGACATGTGACCATCTCTCCATATTCTACTCTTTTTCTATATTTCTGTCAAGTGTCAACGTATATAACTTTCTCTTCAATTCCAAATTCTAATTAGAATTAGAACGCCAAAAACATGAAAGGAGGAAGGTAATTGGTGGGTCCCATTATATGAAAAATTTCTTTTATTTTTAAAGTGTTATAACTTTTTTATTTTGAATCCAATGTTTACAAAAATCATATCAAAATTAGTAATTTTTTATGTTCTTTCATATGATATCAATATTGCTTATATAAAATTCAAAAAAATATCTGAACACTTATTAAACAATCTTCTAATTTTATAGCAACAATACGAATTATTCTGTACTAAATAAAGAAAAAATTCCTAATATATGACCAAGATAGGGATAGTGGATAAACGTATGAATTAGAAGATGTTCTCTTCGTCTGATCTGGATGTTTCTAATTTGAATGTTTTAAGATCTGATCTGATCTGAATTTTTCTGATCTGATCTGAATCTTTTTTATCTGATCTGATCTAAATATTTCTGATCTGATCTGATCTGAATCTTTCTGATCTGATCTGATCTAAATCTTTCTGATCTGATCTGAATGTTTCTGTCTGATCTAATCTGAATTCTTCTAATTTGATCTTAACTTTCTAAATCGGTATATATAAATAATAATAATAATGTCAATAATAATTATAATAAATAATAATAATATCAATAATAGTTATAATAATAAAAATAATGACTATTATTATTCTTATAATTATAATTATTTAATAGGTATAATATTAAGTATAATAATAATAATAAGTATGATAATAATAATAATAATCAATTTATCAATTTATATATAAGAAAAGCGATAGATCTTCCAATTACCATTTTGTCCTCAAAAAATGACATGTGACCATCTCTCCATATTCTACTCTTTTTCTATATTTCTGCCAAGTGGCAACGTATATAACTCTCTCTACAATTCCAAATTCTAATTAGAATTAGAACGCCAAAAACATGAAAGGAGGAAGGTAATCAATTTATATATAAGAAAAGAGATAGATCTTCCAATTACCATTTTGTCCTCAAAAATGACATGTGACCATCTCTCCATATTCTACTCTTTTTCTATATTTCTGCCAAGTGGCAACGTATATAACTCTCTCTTCAATTCCAAATTCTAATTAGAATTAGAACGCCAAAAACATGAAAGGAGGAAGGTAATTGGTGGGTCCCATTATATGAAAAATTTCTTTTATTTTTAAAGTGTTATAACTTTTTTATTTTGAATCCAATGTTTACAAAAATCATATCAAATTTCGTAATTTTTTATGTTCTTTCATATGATATCAATATTGCTTATATAAAATTCAAAAAAAAAAATCTGAACACTTATTAAACAATCTTCTAATTTTATAGCGTCAATACGAATTATTCTGTACTAAATAAAGAAAAAAATCCTAATCTATGACCAAGATAGGGATAGTGGATAAACGTATGAATTAGAAGATGTTCTCTTCGTCTGATCTGGATGTTTCTAATTTGAATGTTTTAAGATCTGATCTGATCTGAATTTTTCTGATCTCATCTGAATCTTTTTTATCTGATCTGATCTAAATATTTCTGATCTGATCTGATCTAAATCTTTCTGATCTGATCTGAATGTTTCTGTCTGATCTAATCTGAATTCTTCTAATTTGATCTTAACTTTCTAAACCGGTATATATAAATAATAATAATAATAATGTCAATAATAATTATAATAAATAATAATAATATCAATAATAGTTATAATAATAAAATAATAATAAAAACAATGACTATTATTATTCTTATAATTATAATTATTTAATAGGTATAATATTAAGTATAATAATAATAATAAGTATGATAATAATAATAATAATCAATTTATCAATTTATATATAAGAAAAGCAATAGATCTTCCAATTACCATTTTGTCCTCAAAAAATGACATGTGACCATATCTCCATATTCTACTTTTTTCCTATATTTCTGCCAAGTGGCAACGTATATAACTCTCTCTTCAATTCCAAATTCTAATTAGAATTAGAACGCCAAAAACATGAAAGGAGGAAGGTAATCAATTTATATATAAGAAAAGAGATAGATCTTCCAGTTACCATTTTGTCCTCAAAAATGACATGCGACCATCTCTCCATATTCTACTCTTTTTCTATATTTCTGCAAAGTGGCAACGTATATAACTCTCTCTTCAATTCCAAATTCTAATTAGAATTAGAGCATCTTCAATGCTAAAACGTTAACGGTGCATACGTGACATGAGAGATAGTCAATGAAAAAACAATAAATAGAATATCTCTCCTTATTTAATGGATCTTATATCATTTTGGTAAGTTTTTCTTCACAATATCAAGCACAATGTCTAGATATAGACATTGTGGTTGACATTGTAGGGAAAAACTTACCAAAAACACATAAGACCGTGGACGGACGGAGAGAGAAATGTCATAAAATCAATCTTTTGTGTCTATCTCTCTCATGCCACATGTGCACCGTGCACATTGTAACATTGGAGATACTCTTAGAACACCAAAAACATGAAAGGAGGAAGGTAATTGGTGGGTCCCATTATATGAAAATTTTCTTTTGTTTTTAAAGTGTTATGACTTTTTTATTTTGAATCCAATGTTTACAAAAATAATATCAAATTTCGTAATTTTTTATGTTCTTTCATATGATATAAATATTGCTTATATAAAATTCAAAAAAAAATCTGAACACTTATTAAACAATCTTCTAATTTTATAGCGTCAATACGAATTATTCTGTACTAAATAAAGAAAAAATTCCCAATATATGACCAAGATAGGGATAGTGGATAAACGTATGAATTAGAAGATGTTCTCTTCGTCTGATCTGGATGTTTCTAATTTGAATGTTTTAAGATCTGATCTGATCTGAATTTTTCTGATCTGATCTGAATCTTTTTTATCTGATCTGATCTAAATATTTCTGATCTGATCTGAATGTTTCTGTCTGATCTAATCTGAATTCTTCTAATTTGATCTTAACTTTCTAAACCGGTATATATAAATAATAATAATAATAATGTCAATAATAATTATAATAAATAATAATAATATCAATAATAGTTATAATAATAAAATAATAATAAAAATAATGACTATTATTATTCTTATAATTATAATTATTTAATAGGTATAATATTAAGTATAATAATAATAATAAGTATGATAATAATAATAATAATAATAATAATAATAATAATAATAATCAATTTATATATAAGAAAAGAGATAGTTCTTCCAATTACCATTTTGTCCTCAAAAAATGACATGTGACTATCTCTCCATATTCTACTCTTTTTCTATATTTCTGCCAAGTGGTGACGTATATAACTCTCTCTTCAATTCCAAATTCTAATTAGAATTAGAACGCCAAAAACATGAAAGGAGGAAGGTAATTGGTGAGTCCCATTATATGAAAAATTTCTTTTATTTTTAAAGTGTTATAACTTTTTTATTTTGAATCCAATGTTTACAAAAATCATATCAAATTTCGTAATTTTTTATGTTCTTTCATATGATATCAATATTGCTTATATAAAATTCAAAAAAAAAATTGAACACTTATTAAACAATCTTCTAATTTTATAGCGCCAATACGAATTATTCTGTACTAAATAAAGAAAAAATTCCTAATATATGACCAAGATAGGGATAGTGGATAAACATATGAATTAGAAGATGTTCTCTTCGGATGTTTCTAATTTGAATGTTTTAAGATCTGATCTGATCTGAATTTTTCTGATCTGGTCTGAATCTTTTTTATCTGATCTGATCTGAATATTTCTGATCTGATCTGATCTGATCTGATCTGATCTGAATCTTTCTGGTCTGATCTAAATCTTTCTGATCTGATCTGAATGTTTCTGATCTGATCTAATCTGAATTCTTCTAATTTGATCTTAACTTTCTAAATCGGTATATATAAATAATAATAATAACAATAATAATAATGTCAATAATAATTATAATAAATAATAATAATATCAATTATAGTTATAATAATAAAATAATAATAAAAATAATAACTATTATTATTCTTATAATTATAATTATTTAATAGGTATAATATTAAGTATAATAATGATAATAATAAGTATGATAATAATAATAATAATAATATTAAATTATTCGTTATGGTCTTTTTCGTTATAATTATAATTATTTAATAGGTATAATAATAAGTATAATAATAATAATAATAGTAAATATAATAATAATATTAACTTATTCGTTATTGATCCATTTTTTTACAAAAAATCAAAAAAAAAATCCCACTTACCATTTTGGGATGTTCCAAACATTCATTCCATTTCCCTTTTTGGAAAATTTGTTTAGCTAAGATTTATTTACATTTTTCTTACTCAACACCAATCTCACATTTATTTATTATTATTATTATTATTATTGTTATTTACGGTGATTCGAATCACCTATAAAAGTACAAAGAATGATAATCTTATAAAAATATTACATCTCATTAAAAAATCAACATGTTGAAATAAATTTTTTATAATATCTAAGTGACTCAAAAATATAAATATATTTGAATTTGGTTATTATTGTGGATCCATTTGAATAGAAATTAGCAGTGAAAAAATACGTTTATCCACTATCCCTATCTTGGTCATATATTAGAACAATGTCTTCCAAAAAAAATTAGTTGAATACGTTACATCTG